TAGATAAGCCAGTAAACGTTATTTTTTTTTCTTAATGGTGAAAATATCCTTGTTCACAAGCTTTTCTCCACAAGCCTGTGTGCATACATGTGTGGTAGGAGAAGATTAACACAGACCAAAGCTATTTTCCTGCACCAGTGTAAGGGCTCTTAACTCTTCCATGCAGGGGTAGGCTGAGAATGCCTTAACTCAGGGTAGCAATGTGAGCTGTATTTAGCATTGCTGTGAACTCTTTAAACAGTGGAAAAAGAAGAACCTTCCTCCAGTCACAGAGGAGAAACCCACTTCATAAAATACAAGATATGCTAGTGCTGGAGCAGACAAAGCCAAATTATATATCAGAGTAAGGGCAGGTCAAAAGGAGTTCAAGGCTGATTTCTATAATTCCTCCACAGATTTTCTTCTTGAAACGAAACAGCATTCATACTTTGATGCATTGGTTAAAAGCAGCTTGGAGAAAGCCTATGAAACTAATTAAAAAAAAAAAATTGCTGGGAAACAAATGACATACCTGAAGTCCTTCTCTCACAGCTTCCAGAAGATACGGCACTAGGGAGTAGTTCCAGAGGTCTGTGAACCATACTCTAGAGCCATCAACATCCATAGGGCAAGGGAGGAAGAGGCGGGGACCTGAGAAGTCAAACTGTGTATTAAAAAAAGTAGAACTAGGGAACACACTCAAAACAATCTTCATAGAACTAAAAAAGTAGTATTGGAGCAAACTGAAGTGAAGAGAACATTAAAACAGGACTACAATAAGGGAGTCAACAGTCTCCTGTCACTAAAAATGAACTTTATCCAATTCTAGGGCCCGATGAGCGCTTACAAGTTTTACAGGCAAAGCTATGTAAAAGGATGACTTTTTTGCTAACATAGCTATTCCATTAAAAGACCTCAGGTACATATATATCTCCCACCCGCTAGTTTGCTGAACTAACGGTTCAAGTGTTTTTGTTACTGTAATTATATTGCAGTGTGAAAGCAGGGAAAAAAAAAATTAAGCCTATGAAAGTTACTATTGAGGTAATTTTTTGTAAATTTAACTTTTTAAAATTATGCTCATTTACTTGAAAATCTTTAAAACCAAGGCAGAAATACCAGAATATACATACTCTCTCATTAAACTTTCCATTTTCATTTCATTCTTGCTGGCAACTAGACATTAATTCCCCACACTGATGTTGTACTTCCCATTGAGAGATGACAACTTTTAAAAATGTAACATAGCCTTCACAAATCTCTAAAATACTCAGCCTGCAGGCTTATTTCAAACCACTCCACCAAGGGACTCACCAATGGTAACATCCGAAGAGCTGTGTGTTTCTAGGAAGCTGTTGAGATGATGCCATGTTTTGGGGATCCAGTCAATTATTTTGATGAGCTCATTATTGCGTATGTTCCTTTCTATTTCAGTTTCAATCAGTTTCCTTCTCAGATATCTGCCCAAGAAACCTTTAACAGGCTCCGTGTGATTAGCACACAGCACCCACCTGGGTAGAAAGGATAAATGTCAAGCAGCAATGAATAGCGAACACATAATTTCCTCTTAAACATATAGATGAAGGTAATGTCATAAGCTTCTGAGTCTCGTTAGTCTCCCAGTATAAAACTGCTCCAATAAACCACAATACTGTCCACTGCTAGAGCACAATCATTACAGGT